GCATGGCTAGTGAGCCTTGCCAATTATAACACGGCTGTATTCGTCAGAGTAATATCGATAATTAAAAACATTATAAGTATTATTAGGAAATGCATCGTTCCTTATTTTATACAAATTACATTATGCATTGAAATTATTTTATACAAATTGCATTATGCATTGAAATTATTTTATACAAATTGCATTGTGCATTAAAAGATTTTGCCATTCAACAATTGACATACTTTGAAAATGCTTGAATGACACTAATATCTTTCCGTTGAGAAGTGAGACATGGTATGTATTCTGAGATAATCTGAGAAACGGAATGACTAGACAATTTCTAAGTATAACAACGGGATTCTTTTAGACGTGGGATGTTCTCGCGTAGACTCTGGGAGGAAAAGATAATAAAACGTCCGCGCGAAATGCCTGAGTAAACATGTGATATAATGCGAGACGTAAAGAACGCAAGGTTCCTTTAGAGACTAGTTACAATCTCCAGGGTGTTCTCGCATAAAAATGATTATTATTGATCGGGATCGAGGCGAGTAGTGTTATGGTCGGTCGAGGCGCACTATAAATAACGGAAGTTCTTCGAGGCTCGGAAATTATTCTGGCGGGCGCCTTCGGTCAGGCATGCACTTGACTCGGTAATACCTACCGTGACATAACTCGACTCGTAAAATGAGACACGCGTTCAATTAAATTTAACCTTTGACTAGCCCCCAGTGATCAATCATCTGGCTATTTTCATACCCCATTTCATTTCTTGTTTGTTTAAGATCATTCGCGGCTCGGTCGATTCTTTAGATAAACATTAATAAATGGACGCGAGAACTCCGTTAACATTTGTTTGTGGACAGTGGAAATGAACCGAGTGGTAGTCGATATGAAAAATGGAATTGAGTCAGAGAATCTAAATTCTGAATTCTGAAGAAAGCGTGATTAAACGATTTCTAAAAACTTCTTGAGTCAGACGATCATAAACTATTTTTATTTTCATTCACTGAACGCGTGAAATAAAAAGAAATCTCGAGGGACCGTGAAGACGACTTGGTCTTAGACTTCGCGAACCCGGAAGTGCACGGGACAACAAATATCGACGTGGCCAATCGACGTGATCATAACAGATTATCCGAGCAACGTCAGAATGCTGTTGGGGACTGCTGGGACCTTCTATCACACTCAGACAGGATGTGACAATGAACTTAACTGGCTAATAACCTCCGGCCATGTCCGATCTACAGTGTAACTTTTTCATTATTTCATTTTCAATATTCTACACTGTGCAAAATTATCCAATGCCGACTTCCCAGATCTCCATTGACAACTTTTAGTCAGTCATAGACGTCTGTGTTACAAACGGGCTTCTTATTTGTAATAGAAAATTTAGAAAACGTCAGAGTTCTTTAATCATCGAAATACTTCGTCACATCTACATATACTACGGAGAGGTCTAACTATGTAACACCCCGCACACGTGTAACGTGTCTATGGTTAAACATGTTTTTCTGCGTTAATAAAAAATGACACTAGGGTACGGTAAGTATGACAGATGGCGAGGGGGCCACGGAATTATAACCGATTTGCGCGGTACAGTGTAATTTTGCAATAAAAGACCAGTCGATCTGAATATGAAAAACAAATTTCAATCTACGAACGTACTTAGATAAAAAAGGGAATTCTAACCCGTTGATGAATCGTATCACTGGTATTATTATGTAGCATATATGTTTTATTATCAATTACATGATCTAATTCAGCCTTCATTGAATAGAAAACGTGCATTAATAGAATGCATATTCATCCTCTCATTCGACTTCGCGTTACGGGGATAAGCTAATAATTGTAAAAGGGAAATTTGTTCAATTGTAAAGACTTAGGCAGATTTCGCTTATCAGCGACGATAACGCGTGATAACGTGCACGTGGCTCGACCGCCGCGTGTCAGCCTTCGCGTCGTTTGCCTTTGCAATTAGCGATTTACCTGAAAATGCAGTTAATTCAACGCATACACGTTCAGAGAGATATTATGTTATTAAAAGCAAAATGGTCGAGGTCGGCCTGTAATCAGATGTGCCACTTTTAAACGTGTTCTATGCGCGCTTGAATAAAATGTAAATCCTTGAAATAAAGAAATGGGATGATCCTATCTCCACTCGTGTGCATGCGAATCTTACGTAAATTATTGTATAGTAATTTCTATAGTTTGCGGTTTATTAATATAAATGACATTTTGAAATGATCAATTCTATTCAATGTTTTTTAATTAGAATTAATGGGACACGTGGACAGGGATTAAAAACGTGTTCCTTTCATTTTATCTTAATCTCTTTCAAAGTGAGAAAGCAAAATGTTTCTGAGGAACGTGGCACAGAAACCAGCTAACTTTGTTTTAACCTAATTTTACAAATGCCACGCGTTTAATTAATCCGCAGTTTATTGACTGACGCAGATTTTCTTTTAACTAAAAACTCCTTTAAAACTTCCACATTCATTAAATTTGTTAATGGGATGATAACATTTTCCTTAGCTGTCTCATTACGTAAGAACAACTCGTTTCTTACTCCAGTTTCTTGGAAACTCTTGCTTCGTAATGGATTTTATTTTTATCAATTCCAGGAGTGAATGTTAAGAATTTTAATTTGGATTCATGCTACTGATACTTCTTATTGTTGTAAATCTTTTAAATGCCAGTCCGCATTGTCTGAAGTATTGTACCATTAATGCATTTACTGGTAACAATGATTTTTACATAATTCATGAATCTAATTACTGAAATACCACTTCATGTTTTTCCTCAAGTAACATTCGAATCCTTTTACGATTTAACACTCAGAGATAACGAATTATTAAACAAACAAGGTTTCTTTCTTAAACAATTGACTCTGAAACGTCATCACGAATAATACTTACCGAAGAGACAGAACGAGATAAGTATCCAATGTGTCCACGTCTTCATCGCTAATTTTCAAGTGGTACCAAACGAAATTGACACGCGCACACACGCACAGTTTGGAAATAAAAAAAAAAAAGAAATTTGGAAACGCGCGTTTACAGGTTCTGTTTTCGATTTGCGGCAAGCGTTGCCGCTCTCCCGTTTATATTTAGTCCGGCACCGCAATAATAGAACGGCCGACAACGTCCGAGGGAACTGGAGAAAACGCGCGGCGACGTTCCGGTGAACGAAGCGGGATTTCAAATCGAAGCTGACGGCCGGCCCGCGAAGTGAATCCTCACCACGCCACGGTATCCCCTTCCTCTTCCGGTACCCGCGGCGACCATTCACATAAGCTCCTTCGAAAAGTTTGTTTCCGACGGCCAGTTCAATCCATCGAGAGAGTTATTGTTTAAACCGATCCGCGAATTTTTCTGTTTGTTAAATTGAGTTTCAGAGTTGATATATTCGGAGGATTTTTCGTAACCGAGTTCCGGCGGGATTCGTGAATCGAAAGTTATAATTACGCTCGCGGTCCAGGTCGTCTTCTATGAATTTAATCGAATAATAGGACGCAGTGTGTACCCTGCGTTTATGCAAATCAGGAATATTCTGCTTGCCTCGACCGATCTGCATACATTTGTATTGATCTGTTTGTCTCATTAAGCAAATAACACTGCAGACGGTGCACTAAAGGTTTGCGTAGAAACCATGCCAGTCCACTTCGCAGATAAAAATAATCCGAAAATGTCAGGTAACAAACACTCTATAAATTGCGAACTTTCATGTCTGCTATTATAAAATTTAATAAATTCAATAAAATTTCGATCGCGACACGAAATGAATTTCAACCATCGAATGAACTTCACATTTTATGTAAAGTCACACAAATTATCACTGCACTTCGTTAATTCCATTCGTGAAACCGGACACCTTACAATCGGTAGACAATTTTTGTTGCTTTCCAAGCACAGCTTGAAGAGGTTTTACTTAGTTAATATTCTGCGATTGTGGAGGACAGGTAGAATCACTCGAGGCGGAAGATACGAGGTATTAACGCGTTCTACGATGAAATATATCTGTGGCGTCGTAGCGGAGTGTTTGAACGAGGCGAGAAACGAAGGGCAGGAGGGCGACTATTACTGGTTCACTCTTTAATCCTCCGTCTCGCTCGCGTTCCACCGCCTACGCCAATGACATCGAACGTCGACGTCGGTCTCGTAGTCGTCGACGGACTCTCTGCCCCTTCTACGATTCTACCGTCGGCTTCGGTATTTTTGTACCCTCGCCGCTCCGGCGAATAAGCCAATCGACACACCGAATCAACCCCCTCGCGAGCTCTTTTTCTTCCATTTCGTATAATTTACAGCATTGCAATATCGCGTTGTCTCTTCTTTTTTATTATTTGACGATCTTGAATTTTTCATAGATTTATGAAAACACGTGGGACCAATTATCATTGAAAATCATTTTTCACGTAACTACAATATTTGATGGAATCGGAAATTTATTCATTTTCATTACTAGACGACCTTGGGCAAAAAAGGAAACATGCAACCAGATATCGCGTTTTACCACGCGACCACAAGATTTTCGATCATTAACTCACGCTCGCCCGCAATCGACTTAATAATTAATTGACCAACGTATGATTGGTTATTAACAGACAGACGGACTATTAAGAGGATTCGGGTAGCCAAAGAGATTTGCTACACCGAAGTCAATAGACTTCAACCCTTTCATATAGACCTACGAAGCCCTGAGGAGCGGCGAAGCATTTGCATTGCTGCAATAATTCTATCGATCGCATATATAGGCCGATACCCATTCAGAATCTCTCTCGCCAAAAATCCATCCTTCTTGTACGTCTACATGCCCGTCCGTCTTCTAGGGTTTCTACAGAATTACGTGTTGCGAATTACCTGACGTTAATTAGAAACTCGATACATGACGAACGGACATCTGAAATTCCCCTGGCTGGTACATTTAATATCCTTTTGTACTTGCATAATTTTATAGATCTCTTAAAATATTTATATTCAATAAATTGAATTACGGTTCGAGGGATTTAAAGGTGATGGTTAAAGTATTATCATCATTTATTTATTTCACTGATTCATGACAAAGTAATAATCACATAAAGCTGTTAAAAGTAAAACCCCCGTTATATCACTAAATCGTGTTTTATTTACAAGTTTCATTATTTTTGTTCGTTTTAATTATAAGCGCGCGACGCACTCTCGATTCTTTTATCAATCGTATTCTATTTATCATTCATCTGTTCATCTTTGATCAACGATAAATATATATATAATATATATAATTCTTTTTCTGTTTCCCTTTGCACACTGTTTCTTTTTAATCGGCGTGCCCGTCGTCGGTCTGTTTACAAAAATTCTTCAAGTAAAGCTAAAGGACTCTCTCGCGATTCTTTGACAAACCGTCGCCCAACGAATTCCATTTGTTTTACACTGTTCACCTCTCGTAGACGATCTCGTCCCAGTTTTGACATAAGAAACGATATTTATTGGTACCCAAAACCCCGTTTTTTTTTCTTAGTGAGAAATATCTTTCAAATAAAATACTCTAGTTAACAATAAATTATTAAATATCTATTCACAAATATATGCATAGACTAATTATCCGTTTATATATTTCCTCTCCGATCTATCCTCCTCCTCTATCGTCCCCGTTTTACGACGACAACGGCCTACGAGTCACCGTGTCGCGTAAGAAGCATGATCAGTAATAAACAGTTGATTTTCGTTCCGATCTTTTAGGGTAGCCATCCGCGAACGAAAAGGCAAGCGGTACAATTATTACAATGTATATTAAGTAACTCTCTGGCCGTCCTAATCATTCCCTGATTGTTTCATAACCGGACATGGGAAAGTGTTTTCCCAGTTTCACTGCTGCGCCGTTCTGCGAAAAACGGTAACCATCTCCTTACAATGTATCTCTCTCGTACTAACAAATTTTTGGTAAATTTGCGTGTGATTCCTGATAGAAGTGGGCGAACATTATTATGTAACAAGATGTAAACGCAAAATGATTTAGGCAGTGATTGGAATTCCCAAATTCGTTCAGAGTCTGAAGAAACGTTTGGAAATTGGTGCAGAATGGGACAAAACCTGCCTCACACCAGGAATCAATGTTGAAGCGTGCTTCGTTTCATCTCAATGCGAAATCCGAACCAATTCTTACGCACACATTAATAAAATCATTCTAGTCCCTATGTATTCTTTAATGTATGTCAGACCAAGTGCAAAATGTTTAGTATGTATTTCATGATAAATGTACTTTATATTGTCGATTTTATTTATATTAGATTTGTGTACATCGTTTTTATAACTTATGTGAAAGTATAATACATATGTAAGTGTACGCGATTTATAAATGTAATCACGCGCTTGGTCTGACGTGAATACACGAGAACTGGAGGAATCAACTGAAGAGACTTTTCTACAACTTCCAATTCTACTATCGTTCGCAACTCGTTCCTCGCGATCTGACGCAGCCGTTTCACGCGAGAACGCAACGTCGATCATTTGCCTGACGTAAAACACACCCCATCATACGAATTTTACAACCACCTCTCGCTTGAATTCTCAACGTTTACACGGTCGCATTCTCCCCGTCAGCGTTACAAAGCCTGTACACCAGTTAAACGCTATTAGAACTCTGATTGTACGCCTCGTATCCTCAGTACAGAATATGACTTTCTTTTGTCCTCGTTTCGCTTTGCTTGATATCTATTTACACCCTAGGTTTAGCTTCTAAACTATCACGCATCTCCTCAACCCTTTGACAGTAGAATAGAACGACGAGAACAGTTTAAAAAATATTTTCGTGACTGTAACTCTTTTTCATCTCTTCAGCAATTTCGTATGCAAATAATGTTAGCAATTGTATTATGTACAGTACGAGAATAGTATCAAGTACAGTATGTACAATACGCAGCCCAGTATACATATAATTTTATATATAATTTTATCTCAGCAATACAAGAACATTATTCATTCGCGGGTAACAGGTATCCTAAATTTGTTGTACATGAAACATAGGAGATTTTTGTCTGAACTGTCAAAGAGTCAACTTAATTCGACGCATACGTAAGGAAATAAGAAAGACTCGCCTGATCATGAGCTCAGTGCCGTGGAACTTCCGACAGAACTCCGGACGTCTGAAAGCCTTTCCGCGAGCACTTGATACAGAAGACGCTGTCTAACGCGATTTATTTCCACTGCGAATGATTATGCAATCTCTGAGTTACCGCTAACGATCCGTTTCTTCATATCGAGATTCAGCAGTGACACCGTTAAACACAGTTTATCGAACTCACAGCACGGGACGTAAAAATAATTATAGAACATTAATCGCATGAAACAATTGTATTTTTACGCAGGAAGTTTTTAAATATCACATAAACATCCGCAGTAATTGCACGATCGTTGATTTTGTTAATCGAAGGGCAGCCCCTATGAGTTTCTAGTATCATTGTTGGTTGTACAGTCAGTCGATGAATAATTGACTTTTGAAAGCTCTTAAACGCGTTGAAAAATGAATCCCGTGATTTAATCATCTCGTATCGCGTTTGGAACCTCATCCTGTGCAATCCCCCAGGATTACGAATTCCGTCGGGAAGCATCGTGCGGAAACTTGAGCGAAACTTTATCGCGCGACATGCGATTTAAAATTCAACCGAACGAGCAAACACAGAAACAAAGAAACTTCTAAACGTAACCCATTTATGCGTTGCCGTATCCGTATCCGCAAACTTCGCCACTCGTATTTCTAAGAGGATTTCCGAAGCCCGGTCGCAGGCGCGATAGTCGACCAGTAACAGAGCATCGCCAGCCACGAATGGGTTCATCGCTTTCAATGCAATAACCAATATCACGTTTGGTGTTCTTATTTTATTCAAAAGAAGAGGCTACCCTTCGCGTATCGAAAGTAGTTTAAAACCGAATACCAATACGAAACGCTCATGCCCGATTGTTAGAACAAAATAAGTATCAACAGAAAAACGATCAGGATTTGTAGAATGGCCTTTCTACCACCGGAATGATCGAGGCGTATGTTCGTTTATTAAAAAGTAGAAAAGGAGATAGGAAAATCCGTGAAGAAGGTCGGTTTCGTTTAGGTGTTGGTAGATCGATTGAACGATCTTCCTGGAGGACTGATTCTCTTCGCAAGATATTATTCGACAGTTTCCCCGAACTAATTATCGTATCGTCCCAATAGAATCTCCATTCAATATGCGCTTAATGCTAAATTTGTTGCATTTGGTTTTGCATCTCTCTAATTCGTTAAAATATTTGCATCGTTCATGGGATATACCAATGCGCGGTATAGATAATTTCATTTATTTCCTCAAGTGTCACTTAGGAAAAGTGAAGGGAAGGAGGGAAACACTGTAATAATTCTCTTTCGGTTTTGGTGAAAAAAGGAAGAAAGGGGCGAAGCACTCTCAGGCAAACAATTAAATCATTTACTTTACTACCTCCACTCTCTCTGGCTCTCTCTATTTAAGGTTCTCTTGTTTCATTCGTACAATTACTTTCTCTCCCGTCCCTCTCACTCTCATTCTCGCTCTCTCTTTCTATTTTATGTATTTCTCACGTACTCTCGTTTCGCTATTTACAAACGTACTGTGTGTGTGTATGCCTGCCTGTGTGTCTGTGTATATAATTCTTCGTTTAAATAATGTTCATTATCTCGTCTTCGCGGTCCGCCTCCGTCCTATAATATTTCGTTTTACCTAAAATAATTATTTTTAATTGTATTAATCGGCTCGCCGGCGCGGCTCTTCGTAATTCCCGAGGTACCACTGCCGCGCACGTGCGATGCCTCTCCTCCCGTTTTGCTATTCGCTCATTGTTCATTTACTTCACAGACAACAACGCGTTCTCCCGTTTCATTTCTCCCGACTTATGGACCGTTCACTTTTTAGTATCGTGCACTGTCGATTTTTTTCCTCGTCGCCTTTTTGAACCGGCCCAGTTTACGGTTCACGCGTCGTCGTCTTCTATCGGCTCCGTGCACCGCGGCTTCCGGTGCCGGAACGATCGCGATACGTCGTTTCCTTGAAGGTTTGAGGCTCTCCACAAATTATGAGGAGGGTGCTGGCCGATACAAAGGGTTGCCCCTGATGGGAAGCACGTGAGCCTCGGAGTTGAATACCCATTCGTCCAGATTTATGAGATCGTCGTCGCTGAACAGCAGGTAAAGGTACTGAAAGCAAAACAACAATTCACAATTTATTTATTGAACGTACATTCATTTTCCTAATTACATCGCCCCTTCAAATGAGCTCAATGATGAAGTATCATTAAGGATGTATTGGCTATACAGTCAATCCCAAAAGTTTATGTACCTTAGAAAAACGCATTTGCTATAATTAAAAAGAAATCAGACATCGGAAGAATAATGTTAATAATAAATAGCTACGTGCTGAAAAGTATAGAGGGAAATAT